ATAAGTAAAACTAACTAAATACATTGTATTTTATCTAAAACAGAGTGTTTTCCGTGAGAAAAGAAGTAAAATCAAACTAAAATACACAGCTTATCATCTGAAAGTGAATGTTTTCTCCGTGAGAAAGAAGTAAAACTAAAGTAAAATACACTGTTTTTCATCAAAAAGTGAGTGTTTTCCTAAAAAGTAAAACTAAAGATTTCAAACAGTGTTTTTAACAGAAAACAAGAGTTATCTTTGAAAAAGAAGTGTAACTGATTATATAAAACAGTGTTTTGAAAAATGAAGCGTTTTCATCTAAAACTGAGTGTTTTCGGCGAAAACAAGTGTTTTTTTCATCTAAGTGATTGTTTTCCTTGAAAAAAGAAGTAAAAACTGGGTAGAACCGTAACAGAAAACAAAAGGCTTATCTTTGAAAAAGAAGTATATCTGACTTAAATCAGTATTTTATAAGAAACGTTTAACGTTTTTCCGTGCAAGAAGTAAAACTAACTAAAATAATTACTTTTTCATCTAGAACTGGAGTGTTTTTCCATGAAAAAAGTAAAGCCTAAGTTCAAAACAGTGTTTTTTAACAGAAAGTAAGGGGTTATCTTTGAAAAGTGCAACTGACTAAAACAGTGTTTTGAAAAAAAATTAAGCGGTTTCCGTAGAAAAAGATAGAACTAGGCAAAAATACATTGCCTTTCATCTAAAAACTGAGTGTTTCATGAAAACAAAGTAAAACAAACTAGAAGTCTGTTTTCCGTGAAGAAATCAAACTAACTTCAAAACAGTGTTTTTCAACAAAAAACAAAACATCTTTTCAAAAAAGTACAACTGACTAAAAAAGTGTTTTTGTAAGAAATTAAACGTTTTCCGTGAAAAGTAAAACTAACAAAAACAAAAATTACTTTTCATCTAAAAGTGAGTGTTTTCGAGAAAAAAAAATAAAACTAACTAAAAATACATCCATTTCATCTAAAATTAGGTGTTTTCCGTGAAAAAGTAAAACTAACTTCAAATACACAGCTTATCATCTGAAAGTGAATGTTTTCCGTGAGAAAAAAGTAAAACTAAAAGTAAATACCACTGTTTTTTCATCAAAAAAGTAGAGAGTGTTTTTCCTTAAAAAAGTAAAAACTAGTTTAAAGCAGTGTTTTTAACGAAAACAAAGATTTATCTTTGAAAAGAAAGTGCAACTGACTATAAAACACTGTTTTGAAAAGAAATGAAGCGTTTTCATCTAAAACCAGGTGTTTTCTGAGAAAGACGTAAAACTATGATCAAAACAGTATTTTAAGAAAACAAAGAGTTATGTTTTAAAAGAAATACAACTGAATAAATTTTTTTTTTTAAGAAATTGAACGTTTGCCGTGAAAATATAAAAACTAACTAAATACATTGTTTTCATCTAAAACAGAGTGTTTTCCGTGAAAAAAAGTAAAAAGCTAAGTAAAATATGCTATTTTTCATCTAAAAAGTGAATCATTTTCCGTGAAAAGAAGTAAAACTAAGTTCAAAACAGTGTTTTTAATAGAAAAAAAAAACTATCTTTGTAAAAAGTATAACGGCTTAAATCAGTGTTTTCTTGAAAATTAGGCGTTTTCCGTGAAAAAGAATAAAAAGCTAAAGTAAAAATACACTGTTTTTCATCTAAAGTGAGTGTTTTCGGTGAAAACATAGAACATAAGAATGGAGGAAACTGCAGCGGGCCCTGTTATTATACTGGGCAGTCCGTTTACACCCAACCCCTATTGCTCATATAGGTATCAACCTATGTTTGAAGCAATTCAACGTATTCGAGTTAATGATGATGTTGGTAACGCTATTTCACGCCTAAATCTAAATTTGTCTAATTTAAAACCATTACGAGTTCGCTCCTGGATTTGGATAATTTGAGTACCTTTGAAATGTCCCCTTTGTTTAGCCCTGACTTCCACTTATACACCTCTATCAGGTCGCCCCTCGCTCTCGTCTCTCAAGGAGTGCAAATTAAAGATGCTTTAACCTGTCTCTATACATAAGGTTCCTAATGCCTTAGGTAACCACTTATCCAGTGTAACAGCCGACCTCCTATATCCATTTTGGCTAGTTCGTACAATATCAGTTGCCTATTGGCAATATCAAATGCAGCTTTTAGGTCAAGAAATGTGGTGTATCTCTGCCTTTCATCACCATGCACAGTTAGGAATGTGGTGATGCAATTATGTACACCTTTACCATGGGTGAAGCCATTTATGTTAGGAGACATAAGAACATAAGAACATAAGAATGGAGGAAACTGCAGCGGGCCTATTGGCCCATACTGGGCAGTCCCGTTTACACCCAACCCCTATTGCTCATATGAGCATCCAACCTATGTTTGAAGCAATTCAGCGTATTCGAGTTAATGATGATATTTGGTAACTTGTTCCATTCATCCACTACTCTGTTTCCAAACCAGTGTTTACCTATTTCACGCCTAAATCTAAATTTGTCTAATTTAAAACCATTGTTATGAGTTCGCTCCTGGTTGGATAATTTGAGTACCTTTGTAATGTCCCTTTTGTTTAGCCCTGCCTTCCACTTATACACCTCTATCAGGTCGCCCCTCGCTCTACGTCTCTCAAGGGAGTGCAAATTAAGATGCTTTAACCTGTCTCTATACTCAAGGTTCCTAATGCCCGGGATTAGTCTTGTCATTCTCCTCTGAATTCTTTCCAAGGATTCTATATCCATTCTGTAATACGGTGACCAGAACTGAACTGCATAATCCAGGTGTGGTCTCACAAGAGCAAGATACAGTTTTAGGATGACCTCGCTAGTCTTGTAAGTAACACTCCTTTGTATGAACCCAAGTACTTTATTAGCCTTGTTACGAGCAAAAACACATTGTTTACTTGGCTTAAGGTTCCTACTTATCATTACTCCTAAATCTCTCTCGCAGTCGGATTTCTCTATGGCATCGTTGTTCATCTGGTATCTGGTTTCCCTGTTTACATTTCCTATACTGAGTACTTTACATTTGTCGATGTTGAATGTCATCTGCCATTTTTCAGACCATTCGAAAAATTTGTTTAGATCCTCCTGTAGTTTTGCCCAGTCCTCGTCAGATTTGATAACACGTCCTATTTTAGTATCATCAGCAAATTTACTTATGTTGCTGTCTATGCCGATATCTATGTCGTTTATGTATATAATAAACAATAATGGTCCAAGTACTGAGCCTTGGGGAACTCCACTTGTGACGTTGCTCCAATGGGACTTAGTGCCGTTAATGCTCACTCGCTGTTTTCTGTCCTGTAACCACGCCCTAATCCATTTAAGGATGCCACCTTTGATGCCGTGAGCTTCTACCTTTCTAATTAGTCTTTCGTGGGGGACTCTGTCGAAGTCTTTGCGAAAGTCGAGATATACCACATCATAATTGTGCCCCTCGTCCACTGATTCAAAAACTGATGAAAAGAATGTTAATAGATTAGTTAGGCAAGAACGTCCGCTTGTGAAGCCATGCTGGGAATCATTGATCAATCGGTGCTTCTCCAGGTGATTTCGAATAGAGTTTGAAATGATTGCTTCCAGTAATTTGCCTACTATTGATGTTAGACTGATTGGGCGGTAGTTAAAAGATAGTGATCTATCCCCCTTCTTGAAAATCGGTATTACATTCGCTATCCTCCAGGATTCTGGTACTACACCTGTTTTTAAGGACATGTTAAACAACTTTGCTAAGGGCATACTAAGCCTTCCCTTACATTCCTTTTAATACTCTGGCAAATATCTCATCGACCAGGTGACTTATTAGGCTTTAGTTTGTTCATTTGCTTACTAACATCAAGCATTGGTCACTACTATCTCACTTAATTTGTTTTCTTCACTATCTCTGAATAGAGTCGGTGCCTCGGGTATCATGTTTAAATTTTCGGAGGTGAAAACTGTTGAAAAATATTTATTCAAATTATTGCTCATTTCTCCGTCGTTATCAGTGAGCTCGCCGGAGTCTGACCGTATTGGTCCAATCTTTTCTCGTGTTATCTGATTCTAGATAAGAGTCTGCCAAGAACCATCCTCTCATAGGTTTTACACAGGCAGCTGGTTAGTGATATGGGACATAAGAACATAAGAATGGAGGAAACTGCAGCGGGCCTATTGGCCCATACTGGGCAGTCCCGTTTACACCCAACCCCTATTGCTCATATGAGCATCCAACCTATGTTTGAAGCTATCCAGCGTATTCGAGTTAATGATGATATTTGGTAACTTGTTCCATTCATCCACTACTCTGTTTCCAAACCAGTGTTTACCTATTTCACGCCTAAATCTAAATTTGTCTAATTTAAAACCATTGTTACGAGTTCGCTCCTGGTTGGATAATTTGAGTACCTTTGTAATGTCCCCTTTGTTTAGCCCTGTCTTCCACTTATACACCTCTATCAGGTCGCCCCTGGCTCTACGTCTCTCGAGGGAGTGCAAATTAAGATGCTTTAACCTGTCTCTATACTCAAGGTTCCTAATGCCCGGGATTAGTCTTGTCATTCTCCTCTGAATTCTTTCCAAGGATTCTATATCCATTCTGTAATACGGTGACCAGAACTGAACTGCGTAATCCAGGTGGTCTCACAAGAGCAAGATACAGTTTTAGGATGACCTCGCTAGTCTTGTAACTAACACTCCTTTGTAGCGAACCCAAGTACTTTATTAGCCTTGTTACGAGCAAAAACACATTGTTTACTTGGCTTAAGGTTCCTACTTATCATTACTCCTAAATCTCTCTCGCAGTCAGATTTCTCTATGGCATCGTTGTTCATCTGGTATCTGGTTTCGGTATTGGTACAACAATACTGCTGGTCCATGATGTGGGTAGTTGGCCCTCGGCATGACTCATATTGTACAATACCAACAATGGATTGCCTGGCACGCGGGTGGTGGGTGTGGTTGAGATAAAGTGGTGGTTGTAGTGTGGTGTGGTTCAGGTGGGGATTGGGTGATGGGGGCGGGGTAGGGTCGCGCGCGCACACACACACATACACACACACACACATACAGTCTGTCAGCGGGCAGGACAGCACCACCCGTCGTAGTCTCCTCCAACACTTCAAACATGTAAGTAACAAACTCCCTCTTCATTTCATGTGTCTCTTTCGTGTGTGTGTGTGTGTGTGTATATATATATATATATATATATATATATATATATATATATATATATATATATATGCTGATAACCACAAGGAAAGAAGAAAACACGAAGTTCCCAAGCGCTTTCGTGTAATTCACATCTTCAGGGGTGAGTACAGACTAGAGAGAGTAATACAAATCAAGGTGTATATATACAGAGGAGGGTGAGACCAGGTCCACAATGGTCAGGTATTAGGTAATGACCCAACTACTCTTTAAATAGCACACAACGGTTGGTGATCAGGTCAGATGGTCAAGTGACCCGGCCTTCTCACCTGATCACAAATCTTCTTAATTACAAAATTGTCCAGCTTGTACATGCCGTTACTCAAATTCATGTTGAATGCTTCGGTATGTTTAATAAGACTAGATTCTATGATGCTCCTACTATCAATTGAATTACATGGTAATATTGAGGAGGCATTATCCCAGTCAATGCAATGCTTGTTATCCCTCAAATGAACAAACAGAGCATTGGATTCCTGGCCTGTCCTAACACTGTATTTGTGTTGTTTAATTCTAGTTGCAAGATCTTTACCTGTCTGGCCTAAGTAAAACATATTACATTCCTTGCAAGGAACTTTATAAATGCAACCAATTCTGTGTTGGGGGAGTTCTTGATTAACATTTGTTTAACAGTGCATGAGTTTTTAAATGCCACATTGACGTTCCAGGTTTTTAGCTGTGCAGGAATGTGTGAGAAATTTTTGTGAAATGGTAATATTAAGATATTCTTATGGTCATGGGTGGGCTTGGGATCAGTTCTATAAAAAGTTTTCTTAGTAATGTTTAAGCATTTGTCTATGAAAGATCTAGGGTATTTAAGGTTTGAGCCAATATTATATATATATTTGTATTCCTCATCGATGAATTCCGGACTGCAAATTCTCAAGGCACGTAAAAACATTGTTGAAAATACTGACTGTTTGACTTTATTATGGTGGGCAGAATAATAATGAATGTATGAACACACATTAGTTGGTTTTCTATAAATACTGAACTTAAAAGTGTTACCTATTCTGTGTATCAGACAGTCTAGGAATGGCAATTTACAGTCATGCTCTAATTCCACAGTGAATTTGATCGAGGGGGCTAAGTTGTTAAGTTGTGGCAGGAAAGCTTTTAGGTCCTCATTACATGGCCAGAGACATAATACATCATCAACATATCTAAACCAGACTGCTGAGGGTGGTAAAATATTACTTAATAGTTGCTTTTCAAAGAATTCCATATATAGGTTGCTTAATACAGGTGAGAGTGGATTACCCATTGCCATACCATATTTTTGAGCATAATATTCCCCATTGAATTCGAATTTGCAATCCTTAATACATAGTTTGATGAGTTCGATGAAGTCGTCTTTCGAGACGGGCAGTGAAATGTTATCCAGGGAATCTATGAGGAACTCTAGTAAATCATCAACTGGGACCTTTGTAAAGAGTGACGTTACATCAAAGCTGACCAGTTTAAAATCATGATTATGTAACGTCAGCTTGGTGCTGGGAAGTGGCAGCGTGGTTACAAGCGTGATGTAGAGAGAGCTGGTTGGTGAGGATGCTCAGAGGAGGACAAGTTTGTGGGTCGCCATTCTCGCCGGCGGGAGCGAGGGCCGCCAGGCAGCAGCGTAGGAGGTGGTGTAGCTTGCTGCGGCTGTAGCTAGAAGAAGCGAGAGGTCACCATGAGGTCAGGTCTTTTATAGCGGAGGTAGACGTGGGTAGATAGTTGACCCCCGCTCCGTGGGCGGCGCTGGTTGACCTAGACCACGAGGCATACACTGTGGAATTCGCGGGGTCGGCTACTCAGCGACAAACAGCGTTTGTAGGGGCGAAATCTACTACAAGTTTAGTGACAGAGTTTAATACAGTAACATTAATTGTAATTATCTTAACACTTAACTTAACCTAACCTGACTGAACAATAAGGCATCTTAACCTAGCTTAACGAAACGTAAATTATCCGAACCTAACTAAACCTTACCAATATTAACCTAGCCTAACCTAACATAACATAACTAAACCTAACCTTGCCAAAATTAACTTCTAATTAAATCGAAAGTAAACTTAACTTAACAACCAAACCAAATTCAGGTAACCAAACTTAACCAAACCCAACGCATATAACCAATTCTAACCAAATCAAATCAACACGTATCTTTAGTGAACCCAACTCACACTCAGTATGAACCCTCCCCTCCTCCCAACAAGGTATTAATTACACTGGATGGTAGTGTCGATTACCCCCTCCCCCGTTGTGTATTTTAGTATATTATCAGGTGATTCAGGTGGCACATTCACGAGCCTCAAGGCCATGACAGTGACACAATAACTTATTAAAAGGAGGATATTGGTCTTTTTTTTTGTCTCTTAGTGAATATTAAGGTAAAGTAGTAACCTATACAAGCGCTGAGTCCACCATGAGCGATTATTATTGGTTTGATTTATGTGACGTCATTTCCTCTTGAGTGCTTTGATGAGCGATTATTGGGTAGGTTTACGTGACGTCATTTCCTCTTGAGTGCTTTGATGAGCGATTATTGGGTAGATTTAGAACATAAGAACATAAGAAAGTGGGATACTGCAGGAGGCCGACTGGCCCATACAGGGCAGATCCCTTTCACACCCATCCCAGCACTTCCATGTGCCTATCCAACTTCGTCTTGAAGCTCCCTAGCGTCCCCGATCCTACTACAGCACTCGGTAGCCTATTCCACATATCCACAACTCTATTACCAAACCAGTGCTTGCCTATATCCTTTCTGAATCGGAATTTATCTAATTTAAAGCCATTTGTTCTAGTTATTTCGTTATTACTGAGCTTCAGAACATCTTCCATTTTACCCTTGTTAATCCCACTTACCCACTTGAACACCTCTATCATATCTCCCCTAACTCTACGCCTCTCTAATGAATGCAAGCCTAAGCTTTTCAGTCTTTCTTCATATGGAAGGTTTCTAATATTATGGATCATTTTTGTCATTCTTCTTTGTACTCTCTCCAAAGAATCTATGTCCATTCTATAATAAGGACACCAGAATTGAACCGCATAATCCATGTGTGGCCTCACTAATGCTAGGTAAAGTTTCAAGATAACGTCAGCAGTTCTGTTACTCATACTCCTAGATATGAACCCAAGAATCCTGTTTGCCTTGTTGCGAACGCTAATACATTGTTTTCTAGGTTTCAAGTTGTTGCTAACAAATACACCTAGATCTTTTTCACAATCTGAGTTTTCTATTTCCGTGTTACCTAGTTTATACTTAACGTTTGTATTCGTCTTCCCTATCTGTAGTACCTTGCATTTATCAGTATTAAAATTCATTTGCCAGTCTACTGACCACTCATGTCAGGTATCTAGATCTCTTTGAAGGTGTTCAAAGTCATTTACTCTTGAGTGCTTTAATGGGCGATTATTGGTTAGATTTACATCACTTTCAGAGCCTATGGCCAAATCTATTCTACACTGACCTAAAAAATTAGATTCTATACTAGTCAAACTAACCAGCTCTACGTAGTCTATCCTTACCTACCAGATCTATCCTAATTTGCCAAAATATGAAATCTATCCATAAGTAACATAACATAATAAACGTTATTTTTTCCATTGTTGATTTGTCATTACAATTTCTTTTATATTATTGTTACTACTACTACTACTACTAATAATAATAATAATAACAATAATAATAATAATAATATAATAAGTATTAGTATTATCATTATTTTACTTGATTCCATTATAGCAGAGTACACAAGCTGGTCATAAGCCAAGAATCGTTCACTTTTTGATAAAAACACTAAATTTGGTGCTGTACTTAGGCCATACCTTTCCTTTCTTGGTAGTTACATGTACTGTATGTGTGAAACGAAATTCGTAATGATTCTACGTAAGGATTAAAGGTAACTTTTAACCCCAAATTTAACATGCATGACAGATTCCTTCATATTTGTATCACACACACACACAGAAACTTACTGAAAACCTCACAATCCTGTAGCGAGGCTAACATAGTCATCATTTAAAAATAAAACTCTGTTAGGAGATTAACGTTAGGTGCAAAACAACTCTCTTGAAGATAAGGCTGCCATCTCAGTGAAAACATAATGCTAGGTTTAAAAGTTTAAAATACAATCTTCAGAGTGATGCAATATGGCCGCAGGCAGTCTACAATGTCCTTAAAACACTAAAGACAGTCTAAAGTTGGCCTAAACCTGCTATCTTATCACATAACTGATGTGCAATCAGTAAAATCAATACGTTTCTGTGACGTTGAGGGTTCCAGGCTTCAAAATCACGTTTCACCACTGAGGCTCTGTAGCTAAAATGAATTGGTGTGACCTAAACTATACATCTACACAACATTCAGCGTTTTTATCACAATATGAACGATTTTTAGTTCGTGTATTCTACTATTATTACTCTTTACCATTATATTTAGTATCAGATATAATCATAATTATACATTCACAATACTATTACGATTATTATCAGTTATCTAAATTATGTCATCGCCATTTGTATTATCATTAGTGTTATCGCCGCTGGCTTTATCGTTGGTGCCAACAACCACGTGCCTCCCCCACCCCACACGCCGCCTGTTACCACACCAGATGTGGCGACTGGGTGGGGGGGTTGGTGTCTACCACCGGGAGTGTCATCACCACTGGCGTGAGCGCTGAGAGGGTGTCATGGATCTCATGACATAGATCGTCCTCTCGAGTGATGCCCACCACGCGACCTGTTACCTCGACAGATGTGGCAGCTGGGGGGGAGGGGGGGGGTTACCGCTGGGAGTGTCATCGCCACTGGCGTAAGTGCTGGCTTCGCTGGGAGTGTTTTCACCGCTGGCATTAGCACTAGCGTCAGTGCTGACGTTTTGCTGCCTTACCCGAACAAAGATTAGGGGGTGGGCGGTGTTTACGGAGAAG